CATACAAACAATAAAACATGAATTATTTACACCAACTAACTTGGTTTGTGCACTGCTGTCATAGACAGTGGCCCTTCCATACGTTTAATCAACTCCTTGCCGTTTTCATTCCTTGACTTCTTGTAAACCATTTAACAGTCTTCTTATTCAGTACCGATTGATGCCTTTCTTCTTGTAGGCACTTCACACGCTTTCATAATGTCATTCTGTAAGTTACTGACTTATAAATCTACGCAAGTTTTATGATGAATTATTCGTGTAAATGAAGTGTGAGCTGAAAAGCTCGAAGCACTGAACAGCTGTTTCGAGCTGATTGAGTTTCGTTGGCATTACGAATCCATCAAAACCGGGATCTCTCAGGTGGAACGGAAACACACTACCCACTCAGTCACCGGGCAGCTGATCAAACCGTAGCAAGTCAACAAAGATGGGCCATGAGGCATCGTGTATATTCAAAAGGAGAAAGGGTTTGACCAACTGCCTATAAGTTGAGTGGGTAATGTGTTTGCGTGCTACCTGTGAGGTCTCGGGTTCGATCACCAGTTCCGTCGATGGATTCGCACTGCTGATGAGACTCANGACTCAACCAGATCAAGACAGCCGATCACTGTTTCCCAACCTTTCAACTCACGCTGCGTTTACACGACGAATTCATCATCATCAAACCAAATCCCTCACTACCCTCATACTTTTATATGTAAATGCCCGGAACGATACAAGTCTATGTAAATTTCTGTACCTTTCGAGTGGGGAAATATTAAAAATATTAAAAAGTTTTTTTCTCTCTCCAGAATTAGCGGATGCAACGTGGAATAACTTATGCCGTGATTAGATGACAGACCAGAACAAAGTTCAGGATAATCAAACTCCTATTTTGATTTGATGATGAACTATAGACCAATGGCGATGAACCTTTCTGAAGCAAACAAAGATCATATAAACCACGGGAAATTTGAACAATCTGGAAGTATTATTCGTGACCGCGGTAAAACGCATCCTAACCAAGTGCTCTGTTTGAGGGACTGGCAACAAACCCTAAGGTCAGCCAAGCCCAGACCTTATTTTCATCACTGGATCATCAGTTTCAGTTTGCACAACTAATAACCATGCAATTTCATGCACCGGTTTTGTTTGCTGTATTTTGGCCTCCGATTTAGATAAAAGAGCAGAATGAAGATTGGAATGTTGAGGGCTGAGCCAAAGTGAACATAGATAATTAATATAGACTGTTTTTACAAGTAGATGCACGAGCACCACTATTTTTGACACTCAGCCATATCACTGAGTATGTCTAACCACCGATTAGCATGACCTCAGTGTCCCCATCCAGGGAGCCTAAAGAAACCTATGTAACGCAGTGTCTTGTCCAGTAGGCATTTTCATACTCTCATGTCAGGTTGTAATTTGACCGGCCTTAACCTTTTTCAAACCGCTTCCTGCCTCGGTAAAATTCGCTTGCCGTGGCATCCTATTTGGTGACGTGCACGACGCATGTCCCAGCCAGCTTACTCTGTGAATGTGAGGCACTTTCTCCAGTGGACGACTGCGATTACCGAAAACTCTCCGTCTAACATAAGCATTGCTTGTCTGGTTTCCCCAACAAATTCGTGCAGTGTGGCGTAGACAGCAGTGTTCAAACGCCCACAATCTATTTTTGTCATGTTCGTGTACTTACCGAATCTCTACCCCGGATCATCACCCCAAACGTATCAGTTTGTACAACCATTCAATTCAGTGCTGCTGTTTTGATTACTGACGTGCGGTTGCCCATTTGATTAACATAATAGGAAGAAGTGGATATAAAAGTTGAAAGCTGAGGACGCTGTCAAAATGAGAATACGAAATCCATGGAATTCGACCGGGGCAGAAAATGAGCGGATGTACGAGCTCCTGAAGTTGCAAACCAGTCTTTCTAATTATCGATTAGGCCAATCACGCAGTCCCCAACAAGGAAAAGTAGCGCAAGCAGAGTGTTGATCAGTAGTCATTCAAACATATTATTGGGCAAATATAATTTAAATAATAAATCTGAAAATAGACCGTATTCGTACATAATTTTCTTGTTATCTGTTTTTGTTTACAAATTAATTAGGGAATCATAACAATCATAAACTGTGTTAATAATTCACTTCTAGATTTTGTTTTCATTGAGTAGTGCATAACTTGCGAGCAGTTTGATTGTTTTTGTAAATGATGATGGTTGTTCGACCATTTATCACATCAGCAATATTGCCGATACTTCATTTGAACACAAACAACACAACACAACAATGCATACACGAAATTTATGTTCATTTTGGGATTAGTTTGACATATTGCTTCACATTGCTTCACAGTGGACTGAACTGCTTTGTGCAGTTCAGCTACTGAGTTATCACAATAGTTTATCACGTGATTGTATTGATTTACTTCACATCTAATGGAATGTTTCAAACCAACTGGTTGACAATGTCACATACATCCAAGTGCATATTGCGGAGCTATGCTGGATGTGCCCGCTTTGCTAACTTTGGCTACCCTAGTACTGGTTTACGGCTGTTATGCAGTTGGATGGCTTTTTTGGCATTTGTTCAAAAACAAGGGCGGAAAATCGGTTGCTGACAGTGAGACCGTGCTTTTCTCCGGTGGTCCGAAACCTGTACGTAATGTTGTATTCCTGGGGATCGCAGCGTCGCAACTATTTACGCCATGCATGGCTAACGAACAAATTATCTGGCCCGGTTTGAACATGGTTGTTATGTTAATTTCCCGGGTCGTTGCATTCTTACTTTGCATGTTTTATTGGAACCATTTGGCCGCTCTTCGCTTCAGAAATGTGGAGGAATACTTGCTGAAACGATTTGATAGCAAACTGATACTCTTCCTAACTCTGCTGAATCGGGTCATGGGTTTATATTATATCTGGTATGTATACATGCGTACCTATGACCAATTTCGATTATTCAACGTAAAGTCGCTTGTCTCGTTCGTGCATATAACGTGCGCTTTCAGCACGCTGGCCTCACTCGGTGGCATGAATGTTGTGCTTATGGGATGTGTATTATTATGGTTAGTTTCAACGTCTGGGGAGATACTTCTGATGCACAAAACGTTTCCATATATGTTCAGAAATTCCAGTTTGCTATCTCTAAAAGTTGATCCATGTTACAGTTTATATGGACCAAATTGTCTCCTGATGATATTTGGCCAATTTCTCACAGTTCAACCCATCTTCAATGTATTTCAAGCAGCTAATTCAGTTTGGGAAGCCAACATAGCCATGTGTATTGGTCTGTTCCTAGCGGTGATCAATACACTAGTTACAATGTGCTACACCAACGGACTACTGACCTATGCATTAAGAGAAGGCGTGGAACCATACAATGCTGTTCACACTATGTTTGGTTATATTTTCAAACGAGCTGAGTTGTTTGTTCCACGATTCCCAAGTAAATCACAATTGGAAAAAGCGTATGAACAAGTTTTGATACCGTACAAACATTTCTTTGTGTTACTTGGTCCCTATGTGAGCAATACAATAGCGTTCTACTTGCTACAAATGCAAGCGCTTTCTATGCATACATATTTACACATTCTACCCAATTGGCTTCGTGCTGGTCTGGTTACCGATGGTCGTGAGTTACACATGACCTTTACAGCTCTGTTCATTTTGACCGCATACTTGACTATTGTGTTGTTAATTTATTCTGTCAGTGCAACAGCGACGGAACATGCTGTTCGATTCTACCATTTATTTCAACCATTCGTGAGTGGTATGCTCATCATCCCGGTCACATGTTATGTGGTTTTGGGCCCAATCTGTTCGGATCTATGGTCCATTCCAGCGGTGGTCGTCAGTGTGACGGCCACATTTGCCGGGGTCATATTTGCTACACAATCGGTCAATAGTTTGCAACAAACGTGTACAGCACACTGGTTCCCAACTGTGCTGTTTTTGTTGACATTTTTGGGAAATCTGATCATGGCGGCTGTACTACGCCCTCCACGTTTTATCACACCAAGTCTATTGTTCAAATATCATTTGAAATTGCGCCGAAAAAACGAGAAAACACGAACTACTTCCATTTTAAGCCTAGCAGTTGGACAACGTACAGGACGGAGCAGTTTTCGACTTGGTATGGCATAACTGCTAGCACAGTGGATATAACGATTGTTGTTCTATGTCTCTGATATAATATGTAATCATTCGATTTAATTTATGAGCATATATATATATATATATATCGGTTTGGTAAGCTGCATTGTTGTGATCAGCAGTGATCAACCGGAGCGGGTTTGTTTATCTCTCGTCGAGGCTGATTCATGCCAAACCGTACGATAGAATTGTGTAGAACAATAATTTCTATGAAATGAAAATCTATTTCAGACAACTCCCAAAGAGTGTGCAACTGCTGAAATCTATTTGCTTTCACGTTTTAGGCTTACTATTTTATAATAATGAAAATCATCATCATCGTCATTCTTTCCAAGGTCTTCGAAAAGAAAGTCAAACGTTACGCGGAAGGCAGTGACGTGGGTTGTGCTAAGCTCTTGAAACTGATGACAACGTATCGATGCCCGAAAACATTGAATTAACTAACCATCGTAGTTATCATCAAGATGGGACTTTAAAACAACTGATTCTGTTTACACACGGGGGCGGTAGAAAATTCTGTAACCCACTTGCACTACATTCAATCACCAACCGCCAGTCTGGTCAAATCAAACCAGTTTGAAATTAATCAGTTCATGCAAAAACAATAGAAATGTGTGGATGATTTAGCATATGTTCTCGTGAATCGTTAAAGACGGAAGGCAGCAATGAGGGTGGGGAGACCGTTTTCGAAGACAATAATATATTCGGATCATATTTTCTGACTAAACGAATTCGGGTTGTTGGGCGAAAGTACACGGATCATCTGGAGTCAATGTTACTGAAAAATAAAAGTTTTAGACCAAAAATCCTTAGCATAATCCAAACTATCATTTTTTTGAAGTGACCAAGTTCCTTTACATGTGTGGAGTACAATAATGATAAGCAGACAGTGGGAGCTTACCATCTTGCAAGAAAAAAGCCACTTCTTTATTGTAATCGAAGAGTATATCCATAAATTAATTATCACAGAGTTTGCATGGGGCGCTACTACTACTACGGCGACCGGCGGCGGACAGCAATGGCAGTCAATAAGAACGAAGTCAATGAAGCGAAACATGAAGATTTATTGTGTGCAAATATCACCCCAAAACGGATGAGGCGATGGGTATCGCGTGGTGTAGAATTTACAACCGGTAGTAATGTTGACGTCAGGAAAACCCAATCATGGAACTATCCATTGAGGTATCGGTCTGAGCTCAACAGGGACACAGCACCCGATAGAATCCATTTTTTATACCAGGCTGAAATCAATTGAAGGAATTCAAAGATGTGAAGCACCCAATAGTTTGTTTGGGAGGTACCTGTGAGTAGCTTCAGTTTGAATCTAGTTAACCCACAATCTGACTAGTCGATCCGCTTCTTCCAATAAACTATGGCCATTGCAAATGTTAACTATACATCATTTTTTATTTAGAGAGCCCATCTCTGTGGTTGAGAGATTGGTTGAAACACAATCTACACGATATTTATTGACATGATCAATTTACACCTTAAAACAGCTGTTAAGCGGACTAAAAATTGTTTGGTAGAAACAAACAGAATGTGAAATTATCTGTGATGCCGGTAAATACTTAGATTTTGGAACCCAGTCAGTCTACAGAATCGTACTAAAATGAACCCGACTTATGCTGTTTCCCTTGATGAAGAGCAACCAGGTTCATCTGTACTCTCGCCAAACCACCGAGTGACTAGATTTATGATTAAGCTCAAAATAAATTGCAGGGTACCAGTTCATTCTTTCTGTATCTTGAATGCACCCCGTAGATTGCAGTGAATAATGCACACACAGCAAATGAGCATTGAACTCTAGCATAGAACGCAAATTGATTCAAGACTGCTGCTCTCACTGGTCAATACCCGGGGACACGGATCACGCTTTGTTACAATCCAGATTCTCCTTACAATTGGTAAATATCCGCAACAAAGCCGTCTGAAACGGATGCTCATAATGCAGTACCAGCGATAGCTGCAAATCGACCTTCAAAGCAGAACTCTCATCACCTCTCCGTTCAACCAACTACTAAAGGACTCCGTAAACACTGGGGATTAATCAAGGAAGCTATCTATCTATCAATACAAACAACATTTTGTCTCGCGATCAAAACACAAACGATGGATATCTTCGACTTCGTCTGTCTTGTTGGACGCCCGTAGAGCCGTTCCTTCTGATATCAAATATGACAGCGCACAACTCCCTTGAACGCCAGCTCATTAATAGTCTGAAGAAATGCTGGGAGAAATGGTGGGTAGTTACGTGTGGAGAGATGCAAAGGTCTTCGGCTATTGGTTAAAATCCCCTTTTCCCCGTCTAATTAGAGGTAAGGACTCGATCAAATTAGGCGTGAGGTAAATAAGGGGTCTGACGGACGGTACACTGATTCTTATTCAGCCTTGTCGTCCTGAACTACGGAATGAACATTTCCAGGCGCAGTTCAACTCTCTTGCATCGACGTTAGATCTGTCAGTTACAATATTAACTGATCAGCTACTACCAGTTGAAAACAATCCTCCATCAGGATTTGAGGTTTTTAGAGAAATAAGTTACCATGAAATGTATAAGGTTTCCGACTAGGATCGGATGTCCCCATCGGCTTTTAAGGATGGAGGTTCAGCCTTAGATATGACGAAACCCTTGGGTTCCGTGTGAGAGAGAAAAAAGGTCCTAACTAAGTGGTTTTAATAGGTCAACTAATCGATTTACAAGAAAATTGATAAGTCCTCTTGTAGAAACCACAGATAAATTTGTTTGGTCAGTATTGTCTCTAAACTTTTCACTGGCATCATACTCCGACTATTGTCTGCGCGCGTGAACGTCGCACGCGTGTAAATCAGGCTGTTTTAGATCCAGTTTAGGCTGTATCTGTCAGGGAGTCAGCATGATCCATGAAAACTGATTTGTTCTGAGAAAACGAATCAGAACAACGATATGCGAACTCAGCTGATTGGCCGGAACCGCCAATCAAGACTGCTGACAGCAATCCGGTTAACCAATCGTTTGCTATATACATTCCCTTGTCCTCAATCTTTCCCATAAATAACCATGATTTTTGCAAAATAGATGAATTCCTACACGCTTCTAGTTGTGTTCTATTTCATTACCTGTGGAGTTCGTATCTGGGTGAGAAACGTTACCGAAAGACGATCCTCTGAGAATACAGTATCGAGAAAATTGTACGATCACATTTGCGTTCATCACTAAATTCTAGAACCGACGATGTTATTTTCGTAAACCTACCATTTTCATCTTCCTCGATTCAATTAAATGCTCTAAATTCTTGCTCTGCCTTTTGCCGAAGGGCGTGCCCGAGAAGTACGTTTCAATATTTCAATCTGCTCATATATGTAACCGAATCCGAATCCGAGCCTACGCACGTTTTCTCCCCAGTTCACCACCGAAAGTGGTGTCCGTCAGAATTACCTCCCTCTCCTTTTCTCTTTTACTT